AATAGTTATGTTTGATTTACTGGCCGCACCCCATAGTTGTAGACCGTAGGACCATATTGAATGTATACGTTTTTTTGTTGAATTCAATACCGCCTGGGTATAATATCGACTACAACCTGCACTTTTCTCTTGCATCTGGACTCTACGGAAACCGTTGTAAGGCATTACTCTTTGGGGGGTAGGATCTAAAATGTTATAATTCTTGCTCTGAAATTATACTTATCTTCTAATTATTCGTATTTGCTCTTCTTCTTTCCGAACATCGCAGATCTATTAGCACTTCAGTAGCAAATGCCTATGACGTTCTATACAGCCTTAGGTTATCAGCATCACTTCTACAACCGTATTTTTTTGGTTTGATAACAAAGGCCTACATTTTTTTTGTTTGGTGCATCAAATGTTAGAGCTGATTCTTATAGTTTTTTTGCGCTGATTTCAAATCTGCAAACTATTTTTTTGTATCAGCTCTAGTTTGGAACTTGGAAAGAAGTCACGGAAAAGAACCTTTTACAGTGTCAACTAATGTCCCAACTAAGGGCATATCTCATTAAAATAAAATTGTGAATTGTTTTACTATTTTGTACTTCCATTCCTTATATATCATATGTATCATATCTTGAAAACTAGAGCTCATAGAAAAAAAACAATGTCATTTTTGAAATCAGCGCCCCAAATATACTTAAAAAAAAGCATTAAAATCGTTTGCACCATTTTCTTTGTTGGGCTGTGTGATTGTTACGTGATTTTTTTTGAGGAATTTTTTTCTTTTCCTCCTTTTTTGTCACATAATTTTTTTCGACTTGATATCTCTTCTACGATCTTTTGTCAACTAAAACAAGAACTAATTTTTTTTCAATTAATTATGAATAAAATTGAATAGAATATTATATAAGGCACAAAAGATAAAAAGTATTGCATATAATCGAAATAAAGTTCTTACTAAAAGTCTGCAATTCTTTAAAAAAAATTCTTATATAAAAATTATTATTACATACCCTCCGTCCCGGATTATCATACCTAAAAATTGCCGTCCCGGTTTTGAAAAATATGGTCACCTTAAAATTAACCGCTTTTAGTGATTTAAAAAACATTCGTTTCCTATTGATAGCTGATTAGTTTTTGGCAAAGGCAGGCCTAACCGTTCCGAAGAGACGAGGCGAAACGTGTAAGAGAAATGGCAATTCCGTTTTTGTGAAAACGGAGCGTCCGATTTGAATGATTCAAAAAATATTTCACTTGTATTGACGGAATGAAGAACTGATTAAATTTTTACGGACAGGTCCATCGGTTTCGGAGATGCAATAAAAAATATCATTTAACAAAAAATGTCATTTAGTAATTTTCAACATGAGTTCATCGTTTTGTGGCAAAGATGGCATCGCAGTATTACATACCTAGATCAAGGTTCGATCTCAACTTCGTCCAACACAGTATCAAGCAGTATGATACCGGATTTTTACTTAAATATTATCTCAAATGAAAATAGCCTCTCAGTGGCATTGATGTACAATAATATCAGTCAAAAAATAGTGTTAAATATATTTACAGCTAGGATAGAAGGCCTTCCAAACAACCCTATACAAGGATATCGAAAGAATTACTTAAAGTCCTCGCAATATAAACTGCTCGTTATTAAAAAATAGGCTACAATATCCAAAATACTCACTTACCAGCATTTTAAGGTCATAGATCTCTAAATATAATAATTTAGAATCGCAATATAATATGACTCATTCGGGCATGATGATCAATTATGGTTTATCACTAATATTTTCCATAAAAACTTAGGTGCTATATTTGAATATTATATAGATTTTATATTCATATATACAGGATGGGCATTAATGGAAAAATCATTTGGTTTCTTGAACCAAATAAATCTTAATGTGTATCATTATAATAAATAAATAACAAATTTTGTTCATATGTAAATTTTTCAGAAACAAACATTTTAAATTGACCACCTCATACATATACTATATCAACATTAAATTCAAAATTATACATATAAGTATATATATATATATATATACATGTATATATATATATAAATATTTTTTAGGTAAACAATTTTTATTTCTAAAACTACATATCCATCAATAAATTTATATTTTCTACTAAATAATCCGTCAGCTTCGCTTGCTCTCGGACTTTCACTTTTATTTTGAAGTTCTGTTTATTTTGTTATTTATATTTTAAATAATTACTTCTTAGTAAAGATGATATAAATTGGGTTAATGAAATTTATGTCTTCGAAATTCTTTGGTTATAATTCATTATTCAAAATTCTGTATACATATATGTTGTGCTTTTAAGTATCTTGTTGTGCGACCAATGGAGAAAGTATGGTTGCAGAAAACTGAGGCGTTGATTTATTTTAAATTTGGGAATGAAATTTTTTTAAAGTTTTATTGCATGTTTCATTCAAATCATGTTGTAGTATTACATTAAGGATATATATAGAAATTCATTATTACAGTTCGTTGCAAATCTAAACTTGCGTGCTTGTCGAATTGCAATAGATGCCAGATTAGCGGTGGTTTACAGTTCATATCGTCATGGAATATACGATTTTGATATCACACATAACTGTTATGTTTATTTATGAGAATTAATTTACTTGTGCTTGATTGCTTCCTTGCCCTACAAATCAATCGGGCGTCGTATTAGTCTGAGGCAGTGATTGAACGTCGATTGATGTATTGTATTATATTTACAATCCTCCGTTATTGTAGGTATACACGACACGATCGTTAAATTTTGAACACATTCTGATTAAATGCATTAATTGCACTTGTATTATTATTATCACATACTTCAATGATTATGTAGCACTGATTTGCCTGTTGATAATTGTATATTTCAACAAATGGTTAATTATTACAGTTGTAAATAATATATTGCTGATATAGTGTAATTTATGGCATATTAAATTTTAACCTGGCGAAAACAAGGTGATGTCATAAAATAAATATTGTTGAATAGCTGCAAATTACATGAAACTTTGTAACATTACGGTTATGACTCGTTACGTTTACACAAATATAGTTACATTAGTTGTTTTCCGTAAGAGTGGTTTCAATGATCAACCTCTATTTTTATACTAAAACTTATCAACCGAATATTTTTTCATGATTCGCCCTCACTAAGTTTGACCTATTTTATATAACTTTATATGCTTCACAGATAAGGTAAAGAAAGGAATTAGGACATTTGGCTCATGAAATAAAAAATATATTCATAGAATGTTATAATATAAAACTACCAGGTCATAATTTTATAGAAACTCCCTTTTGTATGAAGTAGGATTTAATTTTGTAAAGGTCAGACTATCAGATGTGTACTGGCCTATATACAAAGCTAGATTGTGTTACCAAAAATATAGCAAAGGGTTAGTCATAATGAGTTTATTCTCATATTTATATTGTTTTACTTTTTTAACTTCCCGAAGGAGAAGTTTGTTTTCGTCAAAAAATTCGATTCGTTATTTTTATGTTTTCTCGACGTTTCAAGCCATTCTGAATCGAATGAGACCAAATTTGAAAAAAGTATGTGTGTAAATCGACGTTTTCTCAAAGACCGTTTTCAAAAATTTAAAAGTCATTTTATGTATCTCGATGGGGACTATTGTTTGTCAGTTTTGTGCGACGATCGGCCAAGCCGTTTCTTTATAAATAGCAGAAAAGTGAAAAATTTTTCATCCATGTTTTAGCCCGCAATTCTGAATCAATTTTGAAAATTAAAAAACCGTTCGAAAGATATTGGTTGGGAATCGTGCTGATTAGTTTTTGGTAGAGATTGGTCGGGCTGTTTTCTTGTAATAAAGTGTTAAAAAAAATTTTTTTAACGTTTTTTATTATTTTTTTCACGGTAGATACCATAGTCTTACATATCATACTAAAATATTACCGCCCTACGACAACTCGTTTAGCTTTGCAAGTTTGCAAAAATTGGTATCATTTTTTTGGCTTTTGTCAAAATTAGACCTTTCATCGACGTTTGCTCAAAAACGCCTGAACCGATTTCAGAAATTCAAAAGCCATTCGATGTTTCTCAATGAGCACTATAGTTTGTCAGTTTGTGAGACGATCTGCCGAGCCGTTTCTTTGTAATTTGAAAAAGAGTGTTATACTTTTCGTCTATATTTTACCTCATACTACCGAATCGATTTTAAAAAATCAAAAACTGTTCGAATCATATTAATTGGGAATGATACTGATTAGTTTTAGGTGAAAATCTACCGAGTCGTTTTCTTGTAATTAACTGTTGAAAAAAAAATTTAAGCCGATTTTTATGGAACTTTTTTTGGCGATATATATCATGGTCTTATAGACCTTACTGAAAAATTACGACCTTGCGACAAGTAGTTTAATTTTAAAAATTAATCTTAGTTTGACAAAATGAGTAGTTTTTTTGACGTTTGTTAAAATTAAAATTAGACGATTTACTTGGTGTAACGATAGAGTACTTGGTCTTAATGAACACATTAAACCATTGAAGTCCTGCAGAAACTGGTTCAATTATAAAAATTATTAATTTGTGAAAATTTGCTTTAAGAGAATACTCCGAGTTAACGTGTTCGTTCGTTTTCAATTACGTGTAATCAATCCCTCGGAATACTTTTAATCACTCATAAATTAATTTGTTTATTATTGTTTAAGTCGATTATTTACATATATCGGGAAGTGCATGTAACTTGCCTCAAGGCAAAACACCAATACTAACTAGTATACATATTGTATCACAAAAAATAATGTTCGGCTTGTTACGAGTTGGGATTCGGATTAGGTTGTTAATGACTAGATATGAGTTGGTTCGAATCAAGTAAAATGTGATTCGAATAAAATGGTATGATTCGAATGATTCGAACTACTTGATTCCGGGGGGCTCATGACTATTCTACAATTCTTGATTTTCAAACTGACCTAGTAAATGATTTATATTCATTTCTTGATAAATAAATTTAGTTCAATCGATTAATTCTAATTCTTTTATCTCAGGCGCTGCCGCATACCACTGAGCGATCGGACCGTAATGGACTCGGACAACAACACAAGGAAACAATTACAGCTCCATCACCAGGTAACTCACAGCCGGACTACGATCAGTTCGCAAGTCAAAGTATCACAGATCGCAACGCTATTCCAGGCACAACCGCAATCATTCGCTAATAATCAAAAATCAACGACCAAAGTTCATTTTGCATTGCCATCCACCGCCAAATTTAAATCCAGCGGACGCCAGGATTCCGCCACTACCATTAAGCTGATGTCACCAGTAAAGGTAGCACCATCATGCATAATCATTGGCGTCGTAAATCATACAAACACGTGTCATGATCATCTATTGAATAAGTAGACATATTTTACCTCACATCTTTTTCACACATGTAAGAATTATTAGCCAGCGGGAAAAGCATACCCTAATTGTAAGATGTAATAGAAACGTCTTATATATTAAATATCATACTTTACGCTAGATTGAATCAAAAAATTTATTTAGTAAGCAAAGAATCAAGGATATTTAACATATTTTAGCTATATTTTCAATATTAATAAATTGTCATATTTTTTCTAAAAAAAATTATAAGGATAATAACTATCACTTGATTAAGGGAGAGATCCATACAATTTAAAATATTTTGGAATTCTAAGATATCATCATAATGTGATTCTAATATAATTAAAATTGGTAACGTTTTATATTTTATATTGATTATCACATTATCTGAATGTTCAATCTTATTAATAATTTAATGATTTCATAAATATTGGTTAAATTTTAATTGCCCAAAATGTTCTCAACATACATAAGAAGTTATATCTACTCTATTTTTATGATGCTCATTGAATTTGTGCGGGGAAGGATGTATTATATGCAAATGAAGACTAGATTTTGGTAATATTTTTTTATATAGAGCCGGATTTGGAAGTTATTTAAATTAGCATCCTATTGGTCAATTAATACAGGTTTTATTTTATTCACAGAGCTACTTTGACTTTATTGCGCAATGTATAATTTCAATTTTATGCATTGTATATCAGTTACACTAACGCATTAACTTTATTTAAATTTAATTTTTTTTTATTGATATATGATTTTCATAACATATATTTCTGATATTATGAATGAAATGCATTTTCAAATTGACCATTTCTTTTTATAAATGCAATTAAATACCTTATTTTAAACTTTCGCTACGTCGACTATAGGCGACATACACTGTGTGTACGAGTGTCGCCTATAAACGACGTTCAGTTTGTCGAATTTTGTTTAAAGATTTATCACTCAGAGTTAAATTATTGAGAATTAATTCGTTATTATGGATTTTTAGCTCTTTAGAAGTGTAGTTTTAATTTTTAAATACATTTTTTCGATAATGATTGGAAAATATTAAAATATTTTGTATAACACATACCTTGGCGACTTGCTGGCTCGTACAGCAGTGTTACTTTTGCCGAAAACATTCTCGTAGCGAAAGGCTTAACAAAAACAGTGGTCCTCAAAAAAATTGTCTGTATTGGGTGTACGATATATGTTTTCCAATGTATTTTTTTACCTCTGAATACGAATCTGAAATCGAAATTGATGGACAAACTTGAAAAAGAGAGATAAAATCTGGTAATTTATGTCGTTTCCTAGCTTTTTTCATCTTATATAACCTGTGCAACAGATTTCTGAAATGTTTTTCATCCCCTTAGAGTTTTTTTTGTAGAATCCAGTTTTATTGTTTTATTTTACGTAGCAAACTATACAATAAGTACATCCAGCTACTTTTACAGATAATATTATATGACTACGTTTGAAGGATAGTTATCTTGCGCTAACACTTTATGTAATTATAGCATTAGGTATCATGTAGTTTGATGTAATAAATCATTACAATTTCTTCTCTTAAGTCGCTGTGGTGGTAATTCCAGTATTTTAATTAATTTTTTAATTTTTATTTTTATTGGCCTCGCTTACTCGAGCATTTAGCCACCTACAACATATTTCAATTTCTATACAATATTTCAATTTCAATACAATCTTCATGTTCATACTATTTTATAAAAATCCTATTCTTCTCCTTATAAAAATCCTACTCTTCTTTCTATTTAAATTCTGTCCTATCCTATGTACTCTTCAACCTAACTTCATTCTTCTTTTTTCTTCTTCACTTGTCTTCTATCTTCCTACGTCTTTATTACTTCTATTCTTACTTCCATTCATTTTAATTTTTATTCTCAAATCTTCTTCTTTTTATACAATATTGAACTATTTTTAACATTATTTCAAACTATTTTTAACTTTATTAAAAACAATTTTTTAACAATATTTCTATTTTTCCGAGGATTCGAACTCCGAACCTCCGGCGTGTGATTGGGGAACGCTCAGGAGCTAATCCCGCCACAATTCAGTATTTTAAAGGCACAAAAGTGAAAAAGACCAGAAAACGAATTATAAAAATAAATTATAAGATTTTAATTACCATGCAGAAGAATTACAGCATCGGAATTTCAACTTATTTTTATTTTTCTCCGTTTTTTTGCAGTTTGACCCCTAATTTTGTCTTTGAATAGAGTTTTACAATATTTCGGTAAATAGCTACTGAATATGCTTTGGTTCGCATAATATAACTCCTCTTCATATAGTTTACTTGATGCACTATCACTTTACCAGGAAGCTCCGGCATAATGTTTAATACTCATTGTAATCTTCCAGACTAAGGAAGCAAGCCAAACCGCAGGCATGTTGGAAGTCGAGCAAGTACCGTCGCCCACGAACGCCGCAGCGGGGTTGAACAGCAGCGTGGTGCGCACCGAAAGCCACGTGGCCAGGTTCAACAACGCTCGGGCTCTATTCGAAAAATTGGGAGAGGAGAATGGCGCTCCGGTCGTCAAGACGAAAATACATTATACAGTGAGTGATAAATAATTTATGTAACTTACTTAAAGGAATCAATTTTATCTGTACTTGCTGAACTTTATTACTGTTAATCTTATATTAACACCTTAACTTACGATTTAGATTCGAAAAGATGTGCAAGCTGGCCAGGCGTTCGTGACTATTTTCTCATTAATTTTGTATTTTACAGTATTGTATGAATAAATATTTTTTAGTTACGATTACCGTACCAGGCCATGCCTGTGTAATGCTTAATAATATTTGCTTCAGGCCCGATTATCGTACGCGGGCTATGTCCATAATATTCACTTTTGTACTAGCCATCGAGGGCGTGCTATGCTCGTCATTGTAAGTTAGTGAGTTAAAGTATATACTCACTATCAGTTAAATTATTAGTGGCACAAATTTTATAGTAGTGCCACGAGTAAAAAGGTTCACTACTATTGTCTCAAAAAACAAGTAAAGTATGAAATTTTCCAACAATACTATTTTAAAGTAGAGGGCAAAAGATGTGGAACTAGCTATAGTCTTAAATCGATCGACTTTGCTATCACGAGATGAAGGGCCACATTGTCACTTTTACAACGAAAGTATTTATTTTTCATTTTGAGCAACGTTATTTCGTTTACGATATCTGAAAAAAGTATAAGTATAATAAATTATTTGTTTTATGAGGTATGTTGTTATTTTTAAGCCTGATTCAACGGGTTTTGGACATAATTGTAATAATAGTTGGGGTAAAAAGAACCATCCTGAATCTTTTTAAAATAGTAAATAAAAATTCAAAATAAGGAGCAAAGAGTGCAAAAAATACAAATCAATTTTTTGAGAGAACGGAGTATCATATGATATTAGTTTTTGGCTAAGGCAGTTTTTGAGAGAACTAAGTGTCCGATTTGAATGATTTAAAGAACTTTCTGCTTGTTATAACAAAATAATTGCTTTTAAAAATTGTCTCAAAATTCTTTTTTCATTTTTTTTTTCAAATAAAATTTTTTTGTATATCGAAAATAATTCAGATCTAAATTTTAATTTTGACTAAAGTTCTAACGCTCACTTATATGCTTAAACCATTTTAAATAATTTTAACTTTGCAATTCAGTTTATATAATTCTTATAAATATTAGACATTGTTACAGTATGTATAATAATCTATTTGAAATTATTTAATATTCCTCGAACTACAATTCGGAACGGTACGGGAAGTTACAGCAATAAACGCACAATGCCATACACCACTAGTTCCAAATCTGATTATTTACTTTTCTGACAAAGTTCCTTACTAAATTTGTATGCAGTATGATCTTTGTAAAAAAATGAGCACGTAAAATATTTATTTCAAACAGATATTTTTATCGCATTTGTAATTATTGTATTTCAAGAAACAATTAGTTTGATCATGATAAATATAACAGAAATACCTACAAAAGCAAGATAGTAGCAAAAGTTGAAAAATATTTTGTTTATTATGTTTAATTATATATATTCAGATTGTAATTGTTACTTTTTGTTGTTCAAGTTAGTAATTAAACTGCATTGCATTGATTAAATAATGTAGCTATTTTTTCGTAAATCCTCCTTAAATTTTAAAATATATTATTGACCTGCTGTCTATCTTTTTTAAGCTCACCTTTTTTAAAAGGACCAAATTGGCCCATTTTAGAAAAAAATCAAAAAACTTATGAATTATTGACCTGAGCATAGTTGTTCATTTGAAAGATTATATTGCGATGTAGCTAGCTTGGTTTCCACAGTATAGTTGTTAAAAAAATAAAGTTGGACTTTTGTGCTATGCTTTAACTTATATGTAAAAATTATCATTTAATTATGTTACAGGGGTTAACAAACGGTTCTGCTAATGTGACCGCCAATGGCAAGCCGGCTCTGCCAAGAAAGCCAGAGAAACCAGAACGAAAATTTAATAGTAGAGAACTCATCGAAAAGCAACGCAATTGGACATCACATTTTAGTAAAAGGCGGCCACAAAATGCTTCTATGGTAAGTTATTCATTAAAATCTAAAGTAATACAAAATCATAATTATTTCTATTCATTTCCATTAGTCGCCGGGTGGAGCAATAGCCGTTACACCTGCAAGTCCTGTCAAAGTAGCCGATGCTCCAAAAGAAGAAGTAGTCGAATATTCAGAAGTTCGCAAAACTCCACCTACACCTCCAGAACGTACCGAGTCTATGAGAGGGTCTAGAGATCAGAGCCCTGCTACACCGATCACAAATAACGGTTAGTCTAACATTAATTTAATTAGACTTTTTCTATTACAAATTTCATGTTTTATATTTCATACTTTTTTAATAAGTATGAATAATAGTTTTATGATGCGTCGAGCAGCTCATAATTTCTAATACGCTACCTATTCATCTTGAAGTGTTTATTTCATTCATAAATCCATCAAGATTTTTTATATAATGTCTTCCTTATGATTCTGCATACATCTTATGAATGAAGAAAGATAATAAGAAAATGTGCTATTATCTCACGTCGTTGCGTGCGCTGTACATTGGATATAAATAGTTCAGTGATTCTTAACATTGCTCAGATTTAACAGATTTACTTTCACAAAAGGATTCAATTTAACTGAACAAATATCTAAAGTTTTACTGAATAAGCTCAGCTTATATAAATTAATTTATTTATTGTAAAATATATAAATTATGAAATGCATATAAATTTGTTACGTAAAATTATACAACTAAAATTTAAGTAAATCCCCCGGTTTGAGAATTGAGCAAACCTCTACTAAAATATCAAATAGACTATAAGTTATTAAAACCGAACTTACGGTTCAACAATTCAATAAACGTGATGCTCAAGAAACTAGTGCGAAAAATACCTTATTAAACAATAACATTTGACATTGGGAAAAAGGCTAGGCTTATCTGAATAGTTAGTCATATTTTATAAATAAAAATCCTTCAAATTGAAGGTGGATGGAATTTAAAATGGAAAGTCACAAGTATTTAGCATCATATAAGAAAATTATAGAGATTTTTCACTAGAGACAAGAAAAGGAAAATAACAGATTCTTTACAAAAAATTGAGCTTGGTTTTGAAGGTAGTTAAAACAGACAAATGCGATAAGGATATTTTGCTATTACAGTATAAGGATATATTGCTAAAAAGCGCTGGATTTTATATATAAACGGTTTTTAGTTTATTTTGACAAAATATTTGGGTCTCATTTTTGTTGTAAAATCAAAACTCAACTAGTTGGTTTGGTATTTAGCCTTGAGGCAAATTACATGAACTTCCCGATATGTGTAAATAATCGACTTGATCAAAAAAATGTGTAAATAATATACTTCATCAATCCTACTTTAAAAAAAAACGATAATAATTTAGCAAAGTTCGACGAATTTTCAAAATTAAACTACTTGTTGTAAGGCCGTAATATTACAGTAAGTTCTATAAGACCATGATGTATATCGCCAAAAAAGTTCCATGAAAAACGGCTTAAATTTTTTTTAACAGTTAATTACAAGAAAACGGCTCGGTAGATTTTCACCTAAAATCAATCAGCATCATTCCCATCTAATATCTTTCGAACAGTTTTTGAATTTTTTAAATCGGTTCGGTAGGATGAGCTTAAATGTGGACGAAAAGTTCAACACTTTTTTCAAATTACAAAGAAACGGCTTGGCGGATCGTTGCACAAAACTGACAAACGATAGTCCTCACCGAAATACATCAAATGGCTTTTAAATTTCTAAAATCGGTTCAGGCGTTTTTGAGAAAACGTCGATCAAAAGTCTAATTTTGACAAATGCCAAAAAGACCATATTGATTTTTGCAAACTTTGACGAATTTTTAAAGCTGAACCAGTTGTCGTAGGGTCGTAATATTTTAGTATGACCTAGAAAACTATGGTATCTATCGTCAAAAAAATAATCATAAAAATCGTCAATTTTTTTTTTTTAAAAGCTTTATTACAAGAAAACGGCCCGGCCGATCTTTACCAAAAACTAATCAGCACGATTCCCAACCAATATCTATCGAACGGTTTTTGAATTTTCAGAATCGATTCAGAATTGCGGGCTAAAACGTGGACCAAAATTTTTCACTTTTCTGCAATTACAAAGAAACGGCCCGGCCGATCGCCGCACAAAACTCAGAGACGATAGTCCTCATCGAGATACATCAAATGGCTTTTAAATTTTTGAAATCGGTCCAACCGTTTTGGAGAAAACGTCGATTTACGGCAAAAATCTGTTCACACACACAACACACACACACACACACACCCACATACTTTTTCCAAATTTGGTCTCATTCGATTCAGAATGGCTCGAAACGTCGAGAAAACATAAAATTAGCGATTCGGATTTTTTGATGAAAACATAAACTTCTCCTTCGGGAAGTTAAAAAGATGATTGGTTCTGTTTACTAAATGAACTGCGCGGATTGTGCGTTTTGCTATATCGGGAAATTTGTTTGCGATATATTTTAAGATATTATAATTCTAGTAACCATGAATAATTTAAAATTGTTGTTATAGGCATGTTTTAACTTATAAACTTATATATATATATATATGTCAATACTAAGCATCCGATCCGGTCCCAAGTAGAATCCGGATCCGATTCTACTTGGGAAAAAATGTTGATCTTAAAAGACTTTCTGAATTAGCTTTTGTCAATAGGCGTTGCTTTTTACTTGTAGCTATTAAATCAAGATCAATCAACAATATCTGATTTGTTCATTAATCTATGGCAATTTGTCAATAATATAGATTTTTTTTTCACATACGGCATCGTTCTTTTGATTTATTCAATTTTATGATATCTCGTGCTTTCAACACTAAAAGTCTCAATATGTTTGTTTTTACAATATGATTGTTGTAGTACTTTTTCTGGTTAGTATTTCTGTAGTTAAAATTGTATAATTTTACCGGAATGCTGAGGCATACGTTGTTCTCGAAACGTCTATATGAGAACTCGAAACTATCTATATGAGATCAATTGATTGTGCAAAATATGAAATTAATTGTGCATGGTATAGAGTAGAATAAAAACTAAGAACAGCAGCCATTGATGTGGTTCTTCAGTGTTGAGATATAGATAGTCAAATAGAAGAGAGGAAAGGAAAATAGAAGTTTTTCTTATAGTTAGATCGAAAGCAAGTCATTAATATAATAACGTACAAATTAAAATATTTTTATTTCGAAATATTTTCAGAACCTTTGTATCTGATAATGTCTCAATAGTTCTTCTACCGTTAATTCAACGATTGCATATAATATTTTACTGGCATTTACGTTTCCAAATTAACTTTTTCTATATGAATGTTTAGAAATGTGCCGCATGAAACAATAAGAGTTAACGGGTTGCGCTTAGAATGAGAATGTAATCTACTGTACCATTTGTGATCTTGTTATCTAAATCGCTGTGCAATCACAGTCCTAACAATATTCTCATGGGTATCTTCTTCAGAACGTGAAGATCGAGACCCATGTTTTACAATGCGCTGATGTTGATTTCGCTCCGACTGCAACTGTTACGTGCGTTGTGTTGCAACTTTTTATTTTATTTATTTCTTTATTTCATTGTCTTGTTTATGACAAAAACTTTCTTCAATTCCACTTTGTTTTAAAGTCATTTTGGGGAAGATGTGATATGAAGTTTAAATGTATGTTTATTCGCTGAAATCTGGACGCAAAGTTTATGGATCACAATATTTTAACACAGTTATGGAGAACGTATTAAAGATATATAAACCCTTATAATATTCATTCTTCTTAGATAATTTGGGATCAAGTTAATTACTAAAATAAAATATATTCAGTGATAAAATAAAAATTTTCGATATATCGCATACTACTTTATTATAATTTTAAATTAAATTGTTGAAAACTCATAAAAGTTCACCCAATTATAAGGCGCGGTAATTATATTACCTGCTGCCCTTTATGCCTTCATTTTAATTTTAATTACACTTTTAAAAATTTATTCCCAATGCGAATACTTCTGTGATTTGCAATTAATTTCGAATATAAATTACTTTTTATTGCAACGATTTTATAATAATTGCTTAATTATTTATTAAACTTTTTGCATTAATATGATACATGAACTGGTCAGCTATACATAATTTGCTAGTCTGGTCTCCAAACTTATACTTCAATTATTTTGATATATAAATGACATCAGGCTTTAGGGATTTCAGATTTCCGAATTGGACAACCTGATGCCAAGCGGTAGTTACATAAGTTACTTATAGATGACAGTATGTTTTCCTTGCTCTACAATTCTGTATAAATAACAAATTCATCAGTATTACACAAATTGTGATAATAAATCTATCGCGTAGAGATAGGACAACTGTTTGGGTTGCCACCTATAAAAATTGTATCCAAATATACAATGCGACTTGCCTTCCTAAAAATTCAGTCAATTATTCATTCGGTTCATATAACTTATATTCTGATTGTGAGTGTAAAATACCCGGTTAACTCGCGCCGCGAAATACTGCACGCTTTTTATATAAACAAATTTCTTTTTCTTCAAGTTTGATATTTTTAACAGTTTTTATATAACCTTTTTTTTGGAAGTCTCTGAGACCCTTTATAGGTAGAGACTCAATAAACGAAATTCAACGAAACCAGTGGTGTTTGGTAACGTGCCCTTAGGGGACGTCCATTAATCACGTGAGGTTTTTAGGGGGAGGGGAATTTGACAAAATATCACGTTGGGGAGGGTATGTGTATTTATTTTTTAACTATTTTTTTTTAAAAAGTTCAAACATTGAAAAAAATCTCAAAAATTTTACAGTTTTTTCACTAAAAAAAACACGTGATGTTTGGTGGGAGAGGGGGGTTAATTTTGAGTATTACTATATATCACCAAGAGGGAGGGGGGGATCCGAAAATCCTTAAAAACTTGCTCACGTGATTAATGGACGCCCCCTTAGGCAAATTTCTTAAGTAAAATCGCTGGAACTTCTCGTACCAAAATTAAATATTCAATATGCAATATGCAATAAATA